CTACGTATTTGCACACTGCTGTTTGCCTTCGTTCGACTCGGTTTCAAGGTCTAAACCAAGACTTGAAAACATGAAGGGTGCTTGCGTACGGCCCCTATATATCCCAGTCCTCAACTTCCCAGGTGACAGCGGAGGACTACTGCTAAAAAAAAAACATAAACATAAACAAAAAGCATTTCACGTTTAGACTATGTTACGTTTTCCTCTACCCTCTCCACTTCCCAGAGGGGGAAAAACCTGCACGACGAAAAAAAGATCAAGACTGAAAACCTGAGTGCAAAGGATTTCGTGGTGCGCCCCCACGACTACTCCTCGCCAGCAGGCAAGGGGCAAACTCCGTTCCCATCCGACTTTTTCCCAACACAACAGCAGTAGCGAGAAGCAAAGAGGGGTCTCTCCTGAACACCCCCCCCCCCGACAGTCAGTCTACACGCCAATGTCGTTCGCGGTGTTGTTCACCACGTCGAAGGCGGCCTCAGCGGCCTTCAGGTCAGCGTCCCTCGCGCCGGTGAACTTTGCGGTGAACTTTGCCGAGGTCTGCATCGCTCATGCTCCCGCTGAACCCGATACCGCGTGTCGTACGGTGTGTTTGTTCTGCTGTATGTACCAGATGTGTTCTGTTTCTCTGCTGAAGGAGGGTCTTGCTCTGTGTGTTGTGTGGTGTTTTTTGAGGGTACGCTTCAAGTTGGACTGACGTCAGCATCCCGGGGTAATCACAAATGTGGAGGGTAGTTCCACAAATGTTTACCCGTACCGCGGGTAATTGTGCCGCCGGCATACAGAACAGGAGGGTAATCTCTGTGGGGTACGGGATGTGCTACAGAACTCACAGAAGTGTAGGGTATTGTGGCACGACCGTCACAGAACCCACAGAAGTGTTAGGGTATTGTATACAGAACAAGAGGGTAATCTCTGTGGGGTACCGTGTGTGTTGCAGAACTCACAGAAGTGTAGGGTACTGTGGTGCAACCGTCACAGAACTCACAGAAGTGTAGGGTATTGTGGCGCTACGGGCACAGAACTCACAGAATTGTTCTGTAGGGTAAAACAGAGGGTAATTACCCCCGGTATAGATCTGTGGGTACCCTACAGAACCTAACCTTATATAATTAATTTAAAAATAAATTTTTTCAACCAAAAAAAACTATTCCACCTCCCGATCTAGTATCGCGAAAGGGTCCATCTGTCCCTTCCCCTCGTCAACGGTGCTAACGTCGAAGTTTGGTACTCACGAGAGCTTTGTCAGCTATGTTTCGCTTTCACCCGCGCGTTTCGTAAATTGTGTTGTGCCCCGCTGCTGCCATGTTTTGGCAAGGATCTTCTTGTGAAACACCGAAAAAAAACCGCCAAGGTTGTCCACAAAATTCTAAATAAACCCCGGTCAACGATCTAGTACATAAGTGCATCGATAGGGGGGGGGACTCAACTCCTTTTCACGCTGGCGCTATGTTTATACTCAACCTTCCCGCCGTTTCTAACTGCACCTTGGTAGTATTATCAGCACAGGACATCATGAAAAAAGTATCGTATCTGCTGGCACAAGAAGGTTTGCCTCTCGGGTGGAGATATCGATGGTCAATCGTAGCAATGGCCCATAGTCTCCGCAAATTTGATCTAAGTCCAGTGTATTCTGCTTGTGCTCGCCACCACGGACCGTAAGCCCCTGAGTCATCAGCAGAAGCTATAAGACAATAATGACATCAGTTACTGGTGTCAACCCGCAGTTTAGGCGATTGGAGTCAGGGGTGGCGAGCACAGAAGTACAAGACACTGGCTGTAGGACTTATTCGCGGAGATTGTTGGCCATTACTATGTACGATTCTCGATATCACCACCACAGAAACAGTTCTGAGCGCGCCAACACACCTCCCCGCTGTTATATATAGGGGTCTGCTAGTGGAATGAGTACTAAGGTGCAGTCAGAACGCTAAACTGACCTTGTTTGCGCCTGCCGGTTTGGCTCGTTTGACTTAGACCTAGAACAGTGTTCATTTTTGTCTCGATTTCTAAGGGGCCGTGTGGAGGTAGACTAATGACATGTACCAAAATGTTTAAAGCAAGCAGCCTCTACTGCCGCCGAATGCGATAATCAACGATTTCTGTAAGTCCCGATCCCCTCCGGCGACTGGTCTTGTGTGTCTCGTGCGTGCATTTTCTGGTGCTCTTGCGCTCTGTTTCAAAATCAATCGGCATCATTTGTAGGTTGGGTGCCATCCCTGAATCATTTCCACAACGTGCAAATCAACAAAGAAGACCATCGTGACCCTACATACCGGTCGCCCCAGTGGTCTAGTGGGTAACCTCGCAGCCTGCTAAGGGCCAGGGCATGGGTTCAAGTCCCGGCAGAGTGAGTTTTTTTCTCACTAAATAAATCCTGGTCTACGATGAGAGCGACGCGCTGCAAAGCTCGTTGTTAGTAAACCATGATCGACTTCGTAGGTCGCGAGGGAAGGGATGGCTGTACCCTTCTCGCGATAAAAATACCTCAGGCATGAACCGCAGGAGGGGGTCCAGCTCCCCCCTCCTATGTGACCCCGGTTGGGTCGTCTAGCTAGTAGAAGTGGAGGATAGGGGCCAGAGGGGCAGACAACAGAGTCCAATGATGGGAGAAAAAAAAAAAAACGATCACCCCGGTTGTTGAGTGGGTAGCCTCGCAGCCTGTCAAGGGCCAGGTCATGGGTTCGCGTCCCGACAGAATGAATTCTTTCTCGCTAATTTAATCCTGGCCTCCGTTGGAAGCGACGCGCCACAAAGCTCGTTGTTAGTAAACTTGATCGACTTCATAAGTTCATCAGTCGCGAGGGAAGGGATTGCTGTACCCTTCTCGCGATAAAAATATCTCAGGCAGGAACCGCAGGAGGGGGTCCAATCCTCCCCTCCTATGTGGCCCCGTTTGGGTCGTCTAGCTGGTAGAAGTGGAGGATAGGGGCCAGAAGGGCAGACGACAGAGTCCAATGATGGGAGGAAAAAAAACTCACTATTCCGTGGTCTCAAGGGAAGATATGTATCGCCAGTCCACACAAAGTGCCTGCCTACGGGTGTAGCCGGAGTATCGATCCGTGCTTGCTGGGTTCTACTCTGAAACAAAACAAGTGATGGGTACCCGGTGATGTGGGCTGCTACATCGCTTCACACCTGTAACGGTGGTCACTTCTGGTTGTATTCCAGCAAAGGCCGGTTCTCGCCGGTTCATCACCCCAACCCGCCGTTCGCGCCGGCATGCTCATGGAAATTGATGTATGACACAAAAGGAATTAATACCACCACCTAAACGGCAATCGGTTGCAACAACTCTGTTCCAGGGGACTAAATAGATCACTCATCTTTACGCCTCAATCCGGAGGATGGCCTGCCCTGCTAAGCTGGCAGACCTCTCGGTGGGACACAGGGTCACTGCACATGTACACTGTACCCACCACGCCACGGGTTGGCAACAATGTGTAGTGACGGATGCGGTTGTGCGGGTTGCAGGGCTCGATTTTGGAGAGCGGCATAGATAGGAAATAACAACTAAATTCGCCGAAAGAGCCCGCCCACCCGTGCAAGCACACGTTCATGTCCCAACGCGCGAGCCGCTTCTCTCCCTGCTGCGTCTGAAATATTGTCTGAAGCTTGCGGCACCAAATAGGTGGCCGATTGCACCTCACTCCCTGTACACACCTACCTTCTTTTCGCCTTTTGTGCTTTCAACTGCGCGTATCCAACTCAGGGTGACCCTGCTGTTTCCCAATCCCGTTTGACATTTCGGCTATTAATGTAAAGACTAGTCTAGACTATTCATGTTTGCGGGAACTGGTAGGATACAGCACTAACTACTGGTACATATTTTGGTCACGTGGCTTACCATGAACTCGTACTCATCGAGGTCGCTGACTTCGCAGTTCGATCCCGACTGTGCTGAAGTAGACGCTGCGAGAGCAGCTAAGACGACCAGGCCGAGCGGGCGAATCGCGGCAGACACCATAACCATCGTTGCCCTGCTGCTGTGTGCGTGTGGTGTGGCGGCTGCACGCTGTGATCCCGCCCTCGTGGTTTGTGATTGACTTCAGAGTTGTCCGCAGGAGGGATTCCAATCTCGGGCGTATCGAAGCACGTCGATAGATGATTGGCGTGGGTGGCGGTGCTGTGTGCTTCGCGTGGAGAGAGGCGGGTTGTGTGTGAGAGAGGGAGAGGAATCCGATGTAAACGGCCATCAGCGGGCATGCTGAGAGGAACAGAGAAGAAATATGGATACCAGTTCCGGCGTACCTGGCATCAGCGAACCAACACGCCTCCCGGGGATATTGTGTAGTCGTGGCTTGGTGTGTTGTATATAGGAGCAGCAGTAGCTCTCGTAATCTCGTAGTGGAGATTTGGCTGTCTCCGATCCTATCCCCAATCTTCAACCAAAGAAATGTGCCTATCGACAACACCACGATCGAGCTAGCAACGACGGGTGGGGCGCGTAACTTGGTTAGGGTGTGTTGCGTCTGCATGCCCTCACAAGCTGGTCTTTCTTTCTATCATTTTGTTTCTCTTCCGAGTGGTTTTTGTACCCTATTTTTTTCTGTTTCTTCGTGGGGTCGTGTATGCCGGGTTTTGAGACCACGGGCTCCCAATCTTTTTTTTTTTAGNTTTTATTTTGATCGGTCTCCTCGACGCTCTTTCTCGTTTGGTGCGGTAGCTGGTCTTTCTTTCTATCATTTTGTTTCTCTTCCGAGTGGTTTTTGTACCCTATTTTTTTCTGTTTCTTCGTGGGGTCGTGTATGCCGGGTTTTGAGACCACGGGCTCCCAATCTTTTTTTTTTTAGAGCTAATGTGAGAAACAACAAACAACAACAACAACATGCCGGGCCAAGAACCAAAGACCTGATCACGGGGTGGCCTCCAGAACTTCCCCCGCGAAAATCTCCGGAGATTTGTTGTCTGTCATCTCATCATCTCATCTTTGCGGCGGCCGGGGTCTCCTCGCACACGTACACAAATCCTCTCCATCACATCACGTCCCTTCGGCTATTGTACCACTGCAGCAGAAGATCGTCAAGATGATTTCCTCGTCGCTAAAGGCAGCTACACTGGCTCTCTTGGCAGGGGCACACGTGGGCGTGTCTCAATTCACCGACTCGTGCGACGCGTCCTCTGTGGATGGGTACGATTTCGAGGTATGTGCGCTTCGTGCGCATGGGAGAACCAAAGTTCTCACGTACATCACATGATGATACGTTTACAAATATGTTTGTAGTTCGAGCTACCGACGCGCGGGACGCGCGTAGGATGGGTCCGGTTGACGCGGTGTGTGCCCGAGCTAGTTATGAAGTGTCTGGCGAGAAAAGGAGCTCTGACGGTGAAAGGCTGTGGACAGACCGGCGGTACATTTCCCGCGTGAGCTATAGCTCGTGATGGCCGGGAGGGGTTCGAAGCTCGCTCCCCGGCTTAATTGTGTTCCTTCGTGTGTTGTGCGGTGTGCACGTGTGCCTGCCACCACACCATCTTGCGACTGCTGCTACGCCCTGCCAAGAGAGATAAGAGGCGTGAGCATGCCACGCTGTCGCTGGCCCTTCGTTTTTTTCCCAAGCCACGTGCATGTCATGTACAGACGTGTGTCCCGAACGATGCATGTGGTGCGTATTTGTCGTCCCCCGAGACGTCGTTCTCGGAACTCTTCGCTGAAAACGAAAAACACAAAATCACGGCTGCCTCCCTACCTACACCTTCCGCCTGCACCAACTTGTGCTATCGTGGGCAGGTCATGCCAGAGGCTGGCTATGAAATCCGCTGGACATTGAACAACGACACCAAGATGATTGCGATCCAGGTAAGCGATCATGGATTATAGTTGTATGCATAGAAGCAGTACGGCGGAGGTGACGTACTAGATAGGACCTACAACATGAACGGCGGCGGGAAGCGCATGTGGCAATGATATTTCCGTTGGCTCTTTCTCTCAACTCTGGGCCCTCGCCCTGCCTCTCTGCCCCACACACGAGTAACTCTTTTCCTATCGCTCGGCGCCGAGTCCACCCTCCCCGATGGTGGCGACAATATGATCGTGGTTGCAATAATTCAGCGCGGAGACCAACAAGGAGCACACGTTTTGTTTTTGTGCCCCCCCGCATCATTTGCGGGGGGAAAAAACATTGCCACCAGCCACCAGCCACCAGCGGAGTTTTTTTTTTTTGAACGGCTTGGTTCAGCTCCGACGCTCTCACGAGGTTGTGGGTTAAATCTCTCCGGGTGATTGATGTACGTGTGTTTTGGTGTGTTGGCCCCCATCTATTTACGTTTTGATCCCAAGTCTGCACTGCTGTAGTCAAGCTTCCTCGTAATGCCCCGAAACGCAGCATGGCACCGAACACAGCACAGCCGCGGCAGAACGTGGTACGGGTCTTTTTCTTCCACACAACTGCTGTCGGTGGTGTCTGACTGGAAGTAAGTACACTGCAGGTGTGGTACGTGGTGACACTCCGTATTGTTCGTGGGAGTGTACACAGCAGTGGGACGAAGGGGTAGTGGTGTGTGGTGATTCTGTGTTAGATTCGGTGTGTGTGTGCAGAACAGCAGCAGCAAGCAGCAAGCCAACAGGGCTGCTCGAACTCTCGATTTATTTGCCGAACATCGAAAGCAAGCAACGCACGAGGTAACGAGGTGGGAACAAGAAAAATATAGCCATGTCCCTTTCCTCTCCTTGTGTTGCCGTTCTCTGGTGTGCACTTCTTGTCTGGACACAAAGCAATGCCCACTCCGCCCATTACCTTGCACACAGCAGGATATCTGGTCAACTGACGCGGACACATCCATACTCTAAATAGTGGTGCAATACAGAGTAAAGAGAGTGCCTCGGCTGAGACACCACCCACCACCCTGCAACAGAAGATATTTTCGCCCATTTGTTCTCCGATCACATGATTGTTGTTGTTGTTGTTGACTTCACATTAAACCGTATGCCAGTTGCTAAATGCCAAAATCTAGCAAAGACTCTCAGCCCGTGGTCACGAAAGTGCTAGAGCCATCTGAGGATCTAAAGAACACGCACATACATGTAGCAAGAAAAAGGTGTACAAGAGCCCGAAGAGGTACTACTACACCTATATATAATCATGATGGTTAAATTTAAATTCATCTGGAAATGTGTGTCGCTCATCGTACCCACGGAATACAAGCACACGCGTTTCCCTTCCTACAGCAGTATTCTCGAGGAGTGGCAACGCTGACCTTCATGGGAGGTGATGCTACTGAGGTGATGCCACTGCTGCTTGATATCATGGACTACTACGTGGGTATCTGTGAAGAAGAACCGACATGAAAATAAAACACCAGAGTGGATGGAGTGTTACGAGGGAACCGGGAATTTCGACGGAGGATGATTGATCCTTGGTGTTGTCATGCTACGATGACTGCGGCTGCTGTGTTCTACATTATTCTTCGAATTGTTCTTGTTTCGAAGGTCGCGATCTGGTCGCTTTTGATTTTCGTGCGTCACTGGTGCTGTGCGTCCCTCTTACTCAACCAGGTCGTTGTTTTCTCTCCGATTCCCCAGCTTCCCCACCCCTTGGGGCATACTTCGAAGGATATATTTAAACCGACTGCCGAAAGTTCCAAGGCTCGAGCCAAACCGCGGTAGCTAGCTAGTTCACAGCAGTTCATCATGGTACGTCTGTAGTACCGCCGTTACTGCTGTTACCCAAAAACCGTCACCAGTCACGAGCACAGCAGCAAGTTCTCTCGCTTCCATCCAGTGGTTCCCAAGGTCGTACGTACAACATTCTCCTGTTTCCGTCAAAAACGACTTTCTGACAACAATCCGTTCTGCTGTAAATTGTTCCTTTGAAGTGTCTTGTCAGCCTTCAAGTAACATGTGCAAGATTGATGCCCTTTCGAAAAACAAAACGGAAGACTTGCGTGTCGAAGGGGCTACAACTATTATAAGAGAATGGACCATTGGCTTGGCCTCCCCCCTCCCCCGTCGTCGTTTCGGTTCTCCTACCTATTGCACCAATTGACGTTGGAGAGGACGACGCTTGCGAGAGCGGTGAACGCCTCTTGACCTTCGAACCTTTAAAACCAGGAGGTCTTTCAGCGTCCGAAGAGCACTTTCGGCAGCCCATTTTTTTTTTTTCTCCCATAATTAGACTCTGGCGTCTGCCCCTCTGGCCCCTATCCTCCACTTCTACCAGCTAGACGACCCAATCGGGGTCACAGAGGAGGGGGGGGGTAGGACCCCCTCCTGCGGTTCCTGCCTGAGATATTTTTATCGCCAGAAGGGCACAGCCATCCCTTCCCTCGCAACTTATGGACTTATGAAGTCGATCAAGTTTACTAACAACGAGCTTTGTAGTGCGTCGCTTCCAACGGAGACCACGATTTAATTAGCGAGAAAAAACTCACTCTGTCGGGACCCGAACCCATGACCTGGCTCTTAGCAGGTTGCGAGGCTACCCACTAGACCACCGGGGCGATCGGGTGTGTGTAGGGATGGTCTTCTTTGTTGATTTGCACGTTGTGGAAATGATTCAGGGATGGCACCCACCTACAATTTAAACTGTCCCCCCTACAACCCGCACTCATGTGCTGTTCACTCTACCTTTGTCTCCAGATGGTTACCTCGACGGTGGCTTGGTCTGGTATCGGGTTCCCTTCTACTGATCTGGACCTCGTTGGATCGGACGTCATCATCGGGCTCCCGGACGACCCTTCCGTGTTGGAGTACGAGGTCTTGGGAGAGGTAACAATTAAATCGAACAATCCCCCCCACCGTCCCTACGGTCGGGAAGAGACGCGAGGAAGCTGACCTGGCAGTATCGCATGTGCTGGATGGGAGAGGAGAGGTTGCCGAGGATTGTATGGGAGGCGAAGTGGGCAAACAAAAAGAGGGGTAGACAACCCACGGAATGGGTCAAGGTTGTAGAGGACGTATGGAAGGGGCTCGACATCGACGAAGATGAAACGCTGGAAACGGAGGGTCTACAGGGGTTCAAGGAGAAG